AGGCCTAGGGCCCCATACACGGCAATCCTTATCAAAACCACGCTTACCCAAAGTTATGATTTGTAAATGGTCCAAGTCGGGCCGAAACGTCGTCATAAGCTTCCCTCCTATGTGCAGGTTATTTGTGTAATATTCCACCATAATGACTGCACTGCAGCCCAAATTATTGACCCCCTCCCTCATAAGCGATGTTAATATATCCACGCCGCTCTTGGCTGGTTCAATATACAGGCGTCACTGCATGGCTGTGGTGAGTGTTGCTGGTTGAAGTCCATCAGTGAGGAGGCAGGCATCAGTGAGGAGGCCTGCCTGATGGCCTCATCTCACCCCCTGGCCGTGGGGGCGATGACTCCGCGAATCAACTATGGGTAGACCTTGACAATTGACGTATTTCTCTCCTACAGGTATCGCAACCTTTTACAAATTATGATTATCTAATTGCAGCAAATCCTGCACGTTTTGAAGATTGTACCAACCTTAAATAGAACTTGAGAAAACTGCTCGTACTTTGGTTTTTCTCTGTATTGGACTTTTTCACAATAAGAGATACCCAAGTGTAGCCCAAGTCTCATTCTTGCACCTACATGTATTTGGGCTGGATAAACAGGGCAGCGAAGTAAGTGCTTCTCACCGATTCTGAAGTGAGGACAGTACCAAGAAATTTCAGCCCTCGCCACTTGAACAGTGTTCTTTATATGGAATCTAGATCTAGGTTAGTGTTCCCTGGCTACTACAGAGGACTTTTAGGGTAGAATAGCTTCGAAGTACAAGATGCAGTGCCTTATTTTTTTACATGACTTTTTCAACACAGTTCGTACGTTGCACTGTGGGGGGGGGGGGCAGTAGCAACTTGATTGATAAAGCCTTGATCTACAGAAAGCCTGATTTGGGATCGGGCCGCGGGGGCGGTAACCCCAGTAAACATCCTTTGGGTATCCTTCAGGTTCTGACAATATTTTTACACATGTTTAGCAGAGCCGAACCTTATCCTTTGCTAGGCTCCCCTGGCAAAGAATAAGGTTGGGTGAAAGCAGTCACTGATCCAGTTAGTACCCAAAGCAGCACTTAAGACTAAATAATATGGAACTTGGACATAGACTGCAAAGAGGTCTTGGGAGTTACGGTAAGCAGGAACCTGAAGCCAAGGCAGCAATGCCTAATCGTACGTAATAAGGCAAACATTACTGGGAGTTATATCAAGAAGTATAACCAGTAGGAGTCCAAAGGAGCAGTGATTAACCTTGGTGGGGGTAGTAGGGGCCACATGCACGACGTCACGTCAGTAGTAGTCGTCTTCCCCAGTCGTCCTTGATGCCCTCATTTCCACACATGCGGCCCCGTGTTGCTGTAACCCCGTGTTGATCTCACTTCTACCTGAATTTCGAGTTAAGCAAGCAAAAGTTGGCTTCTCCCCACACCTCTTGTCCCTCCTCCCTTTACCCAACTTTATTTCTACCTCCACCGTCTTCTCCACCCCCTCACCACCCCACACCCCCACTTCTGTGGCTTGGCCTGGATTGTGCACAAGGTCTTAAATGACTTACGCAACAAATCCTCCACCAGTATCACCAAACCTCTACTACCATCATCACTACTAACTACTACCATCATCACTACTACTACTACCATCATCACTACTACTACTACCATCATCACTACTACTACTACCATCATTACTACTACTACCATCATACTACATACTACCATCATCACTACTACTACTACCATCATCACTACTACTACTACCATCATCACTAATACTACTACACATCATCACTACTACCATCATCACTACTACTACCATCTCACACACTACACCATCATCACTACTACTACTACCACATCACTACTACTACCACCACCACCACCACCACTACTACTACCACCACCACCACACACTACTACCACACCACCACCACTACTACTACCACCACCACCACTACTACTACCACCACCACCACTACTACCCACCCACCACACCACCACCACTACTACCACCACCACCACCACCACATACCACTACCACCACTACCACCACCACTACTACCACCACCACTACCACCACCACCACGACTACCACCACTACCACCACTACCACCACCACTACCCACCACCACTACTACCACCACTACCACCACCACCACTACTACCACCACTACACCACTACTACTACTACCACCACCACCAACTACTACTACTACCACACTACTACACCACCACTACCCACTACATACTACCACCACTACCTACCACCACTACTACCACCACTACTACCACCACCACCACTACTACCACCACCACCACTACTACCACCACCACCACCACTACTACACCACCACCACCACTACTACACACACACACCACCACCACCACCACACTACTACTACTACCACCACCACACTACTACCACCACCACACTACTACTACACCACCACCACTACTACTACTACCACCACCACTACTACTACTACCACCACCACCACCACTACTACTACTACCACCACCACTACTACCACCACTACCACCCACCACCACTACTACTACTACCACCACTACTACCACCACGACCACTACTACTACTACTACTACTACCACCACCACCACCACCACCACCACTACTACTACTACCACCACCACCACCACTACTACTACCACCACCAGGACGGGGTGGCCCTGGCTTGGATACTGAGGATTATAGTGCAGTCCCAGAACCTGCAGAAATTGACAACACACCTCCCAACAATTCTCAACCAAAGGTGAATTTGTGCAAATATTATGCTTGGGGCATCTGTAAGCATGGAATAACAGGGGAAAAAAATGGAACA